GACAGGAGCAAATGTTTCATTATAATCCAACCCTTCAACCTGATGATTACCGAAGACCACCAGTCGTGCCTTGTACCGTTCGATACTACCGTCGGCCTTGCGTTTGATTTTGTATACCCATTTGCTCCCCAAAGGCTTTTTGTGAGGAGGGGCACTGACTAGAGTCCAAGTCCCGTTACTCTGCAACGCATCAATTTCCGCCCGCATTGCCTTGCGCCACGCTTCGGATCGCATTGCTTCACGAAAATTTCTAGGCTCGACCTTGGAGTCGATGGCTGTGAGATAGCACTTGTGTGAAGGAGTAAATTTGTCATAATTGAGGAATGCACTGAGCGGATACTTGCTGAGCATTTGGAAGGTAGTATATGTGACATAATCCTTCAGACGGGTGTTCGGTATGCATGCTCGTTGCCCACGACCAACTATAGGATCCGGTGTGGGTGCTGCCTCGTTGGCAGTGGTTGGTGCCTCGTCGGGTAGATGGTCCGTCAGTGCAGTACTGGTGCTGCCGCTAGTGCGGGCAGCGCTGGACGACGTCATGTCGCCCGCTGCTACGGGTGCGGTGTCTTCGGTTGCTGGAAGGGGCTCCGACGCTGGGTTGTCGGTGGCGGCGTCAAAGACCGTAGGTGCTGCAGCACCAGGTCGTCTTGGGGGCCGTGTGATCAAATCCTCCTCCATTGGTAATGGGCCGTCCGACACTGGAATTGGTTGATCGGTCTCTTTATCTGAAAGGGTTAGATATGGAAAAATATTTTCCAAAAAATAACATCACGGGAAACAATTATTTTCCCCGTGTCAGGGCAATAAATTCTCCATCCCTTCTTGCCATGTGGATATCCGACAAAGATACCCGGTGTGCTTCGTGGAGCGAACTTATCACTCTCTCGTCTTCGAACATAGCATCTGCATCCAAACACACGAATGTGAGATAGGTGAGGTGGGTTCCCATGCAATTTGGAGTATGGTGAAACCCCCCCCCCCCTAGGAGAGAGGACGGTGTTCGATTAATTAGGTAGGCGGCGGTTTGGATGCAATCGCCCCAAAATTCAATTGGCAGTCCAGATTGAAATCTCAGGGCGCGAGCGACATTGAGAATGTGGCGATGCTTCCGCTCAACTCGTCCGTTCTGTTGTGGAGTGTCGACACATGAGGTTTCATGAAGGATTCCTTGTTCCCTGAAGAAAGCATTCAAACACTCAAACTCGGTCCCATTATCACTTCGTACACATTTAATCTGTGTCCCATACTGTCTTGCAACCATGGCACAAAATTCACGAAAAATTGTTGGCACTGCACTCTTTGTTTTGGTCAAGTATACCCAAACACCACGGGAAAAATCATCAACGATGGTCAAAAACATTGTGGATCCATTCAGACTAGGTGTGCGATAAGGCCCCCATAAATCAACATGTATCATATCAAAAATTGCAGTAGATTGATGATAACTTATAGGAAAACTGGTACGTGAGTGTTTGGCACGTATACA